TAAGGCAACTTGGGCACTGTGCGGCCGAAGGAAAAGAGGGCACTTGGGAGATGGTCCATAGCTAGGCTTGAGGTAGTGCAGGAGGTGGCCAACCAGAGAGAGAGAGAGAGAGAGAGAGAGAGAGAGAGGCAGAGAGAGGCAGAGAGAGGCAGAACGAACCATGTCAGAGAGAGAAGCAAGACTAAGAGAGAGGAAGAGAAGCCATAGCCACTATCTGGTTGAAACCTATTGTGTGTGTGTATGCGGCAGAGCCGCTGAAGACAAAGATTCTTGTATATTGATAATAATTTTGGAGACGACATCTTCATGTGTTGGTTGTATCTCGGTTTGGCTTCTCACATGTGAACTCTCATGTAAATGCTCATTGACGTATGTGAGATTGAACTTGACAAGTACTTGGTTCATTTCAATTGCTGCAACCTCATCCACAACTGCTTTTTTTTTTTTTCTCATCCTCGTCCACAACCTAACATTGACCGACATATCCAACGGCCTGTGATAATTCTCTGGATATCCCTGATCGGTATTAGCGGGGTCTATGACCAACACGGGTGTGAGTGGGCTGTGTGTGGTGTGTGGGGGAGAGTTGGCCATAGCCTTTGCTGCTACTTGATGAGGAGTGGGGGACGATGAGAAAGGAAGGTGCAGCTACTGGCAAAATGCTCGGTCTTTGCATTAGCCGGACCCCCACCGACGGCCCCACCCCATCTCTGACTACCGCTGTTGGGGCGGGGGGCAACATGATTTACCTCATTTGCGAGGCCCTATGCTTGCAGGGGTCCCTTCTATATAGTCTTAGGAGTAGTGGTAGAAAGGTAGTGAAAGACAAATAATTTGAGAGAAGAACGTAGTGTAGTTAAAAAAAACACAAAAAAAAAACATTCACCGACATAAATCTACTTGCCACTCTAGGGAAAACCTGATGTCAAACGAGGGCACACACACACAACAGGCAGTAATTTTGACTGGATAAAGCGACGGAAGACTCTGTGGGAGTATGAACGAAGGAGTTCCACACATCTAGAAAATCCCGACCCTGATCCTATTTGTGGAAACGCAGACAAGGAGCAGACGGTAGACCGTTAAAAACTCAACCCAACCCAGACTTGAACGGCAAGTTTAATAAGAGGACCCTCAAAAGAGAATGGTTAATAAGAGGACCCTTAAAAGAGAATGGTTACTTAGCGCAGAGGTGGCGACTATTATCTACAATATAAGCTATCAATGAGAAATGGGATCCAACCTGAGACTTTCAGCAGTGTCCCCCAAATGAACTTTAACTTCGAAGGCAGTTCCAGTCAGGTGTGGTCCCAACTGAGCCCGGGTTGTTTCCCAAGGAACGAGCCAGGTGAGTGACATCCTATTTTAAACCGCAATAGCCCCAGGCAAGTTCAGAAAACAAACGGCTCATCCTAAACTTTCGGAGGCTCGGGCCTGCCGGACCACAATGGCTGGTGGTACCAGCCAAAAAAGAAAAAAGTGCGCCGCTGGCGGTCCGGCAAGCAGTGCAAGTCCACCAAGCTCGGGTGTACAGGTGAATTTTACAGCGACCTT